TGGAGCTACATAGTGAAACCCTGTCGCAAATACTAAGGGGCTGGGGAAATGGTCTACTTTGATAAAATACTTGCTGCACCAACTTGACGAGGTGATTTCAGATCCCCGGGACCCGCATGAGATCCAGGTGCAGCAGTGCATTGCTGAGCCCAGCACAGGGAGGAGGACACAGGAAGATTTTTATAAGATTTTTATTTAATCGGTGTTTTGCATGTGTGTATGTCTGTGTAAGGGTGACAGCTGTGAGATGCCACGTGGGTGCTGGAAATTGAATTCAGGTCCTCTGGAACAGTTACTGGCCAGCTTGTCTAGCCAAATTCACAAGCGCTAGGCTGAGAAAGACTGTCTCAAAAGGAAAAAATAAAATAAAATAAGGAGATGAATTGAAGAAGACATCCAGCATCAACCTCTGGTGTTCACACTCAAAAGTGCAAACATACATGTGTGCACACACACAAACACGGAATTTTGTGTAATATTTAAATAGGATGAAAATTGATCTAAGCCAATGTGACCTTCCAGCAAAGCCTGGGCCTTTAGTGAACACCAGTGAGGAAATGAGGGGTGTGTGTTTCCTCCATATTCTTAAAACCGACGGTATGTTGAAATGAAAAAAGTCTTAATCCAAATTTTTCTGTGCATAAAGCACTTATTAGTTAGACAAGATATAGTTGCTGCCTGCAAACCTAGGGAAGTTTCCATCCTGTTTTGGGGCCCACAGTGTTACAAGTTTAAGCTTGAAATTCTCACTCCTGAGCAGACTATATTCTGATAACAAGATCTGAGGACACATTTTGGTCTACAGAGCTACTTCCAGGACAGGCTCCAAAGCAATAAGTACAGAGAAAACCTGTCTCCAAAAACCAAAAAGAGAAAAAAAGAAAAGTTAATGTCCCCTCTAAATTCAATCTTAAGAAATACTTAGAATACAGAGTAGAAATCATAGCAAATAAACCCCATTTAACTGAAAAAGCAATCAAAGAAAGAGAAGCAAGCCAAGGCTCAGTTCTCCATTAGCCAGTCAGTGTTCCAAAAGCATACATTAAGTAATCTGAAAACTGGGAATTCAAGTATCCATTTGTACTGTGTCAAATAGAAGATGGAGGGGTACCCTGGAAGTTAATAACTTTTGTTGGAACATTATACACAGCAAAAAAGTGTCTAGCCACTTTCATTCTGTACAAGGAAGTCATTTGCAAAGTACAACATTATATGCCTTTCCATGAAGCTTATTCAAATTCAGTCACTTTCTTGTGACATCTCTAATGGAAAGCGATCTAGGAAATGAATGAACACATTAATCCAATGGTAAGTAAGCCAAGTTTGTGTCATGATCCATTTGTGATCACAAAGCAAATCAATTTGAGTTTATGCTGCTGCCAATGCAAAATTTCCCAAAATGACTGCCTTTAAAGAGGTAAAGCCTAGAGAAACTTAGGTTTCATTTCTCAACTAAAGGAAGGATGTTCATTGTGAAGACCATTTCACAGAAGAAGGAAGAGGAGGAAGAAGGAGAAGGAGGAGAGGAAGAAGAAAAAGATCATCTCAACTAAAAATGTTAAAATATCATGTATAATCAATCATGAATCTTGGTTATCAAGATGCATAGATCTGGATTCCACTAAGAGACGAGTCCCCTGGGCACACAAGGGGAGGATTTTCCAAATTAAAGAAGACTCACCCTGACTTCCAGTGTTAGCTTAGACATGACAAAATCCAAGGGGAAGGGGTTTTTGCATACTTGCTTTCATGTGTTGACAAGTTCATCTCTGTTAGCATCTTGCTGCCAGGTTCATCTGTGTTGCTGTTGCTGCCGCCGCCGCCACTGTCACTCTTCACTGGCATCAGAACTGTCTAGGATAGTTTTATTTTGATACAAGCTAAAGTCATCTGAAAGGAGGGAACCTTAATTAAGAGAATGTTCCCATTAAGATCAGGTGGTAGGCAAGCCTGTAGGGCTTTTTCTTAATTAACAATTGGTGGAGAAGAGCCCAGCCCACTGTGGGTGGGCCATCCCTGGGCTGGTGGTCTTGAGTTCTGTAAGAAAGCAGGCTGAACAAGAGAAGAGGAGCACACCAGTAAGCAGCACCCCTCCATGGCCTCTGCATCAGCTCCTGCCTCCTGCTGATGGGGGAATGTCCTTCTGTATGTATATGTTTCTTTTATTGACTGATGAAACAAACAATGATTGGCCACTAGCCAGGCAGGAAGTATAGGCGGGGCTACGAGACAAGGAGAATTCTGGGGGAGAGGATACAGTCAGAAGCCGCCAGGAGATGCCATGTAGCTACTGGGAAGATAGGACGCCAGGCATTCTCCAGTAAAATAAGGCCATGTACAAATACATATATTAATAGTTATGGGTTAATAATTAAGAGATAGCTAGCCAGTAAGAAGCCTAAGCCATTGGCCAAACAGTTTATAATTAATATAAGCCTCTGTGTGTTTATTTGGGTCCAAAAGGCTGCAGGACTGGGTGGAACAGAAACTCCGACTACATCCTGCCCTGTTTAAGTTCCTGTCCTGACCTTCGTTTGATGATAAACAGTAATGTGAAAATGTAAGTAAGCCACATAAGCCCTTCCTCCTCAAGTTCTTTTGCCATGGTATTTCATCACAGCAATAGTAACCCTAAGATACTCACTCTGCCTCCCAGTGGGCATCCTACATCTATTGACTACTTTACTAAGGACATCAAGTGCAAGGAGAGTTTAAGAAACTGAGTTTAAAGCCAGCCTGGTCTACACACAGAAGTTCCAGGGCAGCCAAGGCTACACAGAGAAACCCTGTCCCAAAACAAAACAAACAAACAAAAATCACCAAAGAAAATGTAATACTTTACTATCATGTCCAATAGCATCCATGCAAAACGAACTTGAGTATTTGACTTGCTAGTTACAGATATTTTCCCCTGATGCTCAGTAGAATAAATAATTTTAATTCAAAAATGTGTTCCCGTCTACACTTAAAGCCACCCAGCACACACAGATGGGTCTCTGAGAAGGGTTGAAGTGATCCACAAAGAGATGATGATTAGAGGAGGAGAGCCCTGTGGCCTCCCAACACGTCTGCAGCCCCTGGTCCTGCAGAGAACCCTATGCTCTCTGAAGTGCCCACTTCAGTCAGTTCCAACCTCTTATACACTGCAGTGCCTACTCACGTTAGCACAAATCCACTCCCTGACTGGAATTAGGGGAGCAAGAGGCCCTTAAACCAGTCTGCCTCTCGGTGTCTTTGCCCTTTAACTTATGGGATCATGGAAGGAACACCAGAGGCCCTTCTCATTTGTCAGAAATATAACACACATTCAACTTAAGGCACACATGGAAGCCTTTTTAATTCCTTGGATAATAAGCATTCCTGGGTAATTTCATGTATTTTAATTACCACAGAGATAATTTTATACACTTGTTCATTAACAAAAATAAAAACCATGGGGGATGGAGAGATGGCTCAATGGTTAAGAACACTGGCTGCTCTTCCAGAGGTTCAATTCCTAGCACCCATATGGCATCTCACAACTGCCTGTAACTCCAGTTCCAGGGGATCTGACACCTTCACACTGATGCACACAAAATAAAGTTAAAATAAATTATTAAAATAAACAGTAAATAAATAAAACTTTGGTAATGGTTTACAATCCAAACACAGATAAGTTCATCTATTTTAACATCAAAAAAAAAAAAAAAAAAAAAAAGACAAAACAAATACTGAGTACAGATAATAAAACAATACAACGGTCTAAGAGTTCTTGTTTATTTTATTGCTTATTTTCTAAAAGCCCACAGAAGAAAATACCCAAGGGGCTAATTACAAACAATATGAGGCAGAGATTAAGCACTAAATATTAAAAAAATAAAACTTTTAGCTTACCTACTAAACTAGAAGAATTCTCTGGGAACAAATATGTTAAATTGGTCTACAATGCATTAATGAATGGAGAACATGTATTCCCTAGTAAATATTTTAAATATGGAGTACACAAGCAAAAAAAAAAAAGAATCCTCGGGATATGAAATTTTTCAAGTCACAACCTCCTGAACAGTCTAATATAAATTTGTTTTCACCTGAAGTTAGAAGTGCAAAACTGTTTAAAAATGAAAATAGTCCTCAGTATTCTACTGATAAATTCTACCAGTCTTTAAAGGATTTTCAACAAAACAAACCATGAACTCTTGGCAAGCTCCTTCCTTATGACTTCAGGAAACTGGGCTTCTCCTCCTGTGGGCAAACCGCACTGTTAGCACAGCGACACTTTGAAAATCGTCATCAGACAGATGGAAAACCCAACAGTGACCTCTGTCAATATGTCACCGCCTGTATATCTGTAAGTCTGCACCGGAAGCTCTGTGGCAGGTACCACCTTCACCTGATAAGCAGGAAACAGATTCAATACAGGAAGCAGAGGCCTAACATTCCAGTTCACAGATGCTTTTCTTTATAAAATGCCAAGGGCTTTGAACTAGAAATGGGCAACACATATTTAAAAAAAAAAAAAAAAAACAAAAAAAAACGAGGTCATTAGGTAGCTTTAATGCTGGGAATTAATGTTGAGGGTTTAAGATGCTTGTGTCACAAATGAAGACACTTAGCTGCAGGAAGTTCTGCTATCCGGGCTATGTGTCCCCACGCTTCTATTGTCTGGTCCACCTATGCTTCTAAATAACCCGCCTGATGCTCAAAAGGGGGCCCCAAATAACACATGAGCTACTGCGGGTGTTTCCAAATCTAAGAGGGGTCCACGAGGCATAGAATTTTATGAAATTTGGGGCATTTTGTTTAGTACTACATTTAATAATGAAGTAATAAAGGCTCAGTTACACCTTTCTCTATTCATCATCACTGTTTTTTGTTGATTAGAAAACACCAGTCCTCCAAGGACGAATGAACGGTAGCTTATATAACCAGCGAGGCGATGAGTTCTTGCAATCTGACCACCCAGGAAAAACATCCACCAGCCAACTAACTCCCTTTCTGGGTGCACAGGCACCAGGTGTTTGTAACACAAGCAGAGCCTTCTTAGGCTAAGGTCCTAAGGAAGACGTCTCATTCTGTAGGATTCAGAATCCTGTTTGAGTGTAGAAATTTGTCTTCCTGGCTCACTCACAACCACAGGCAGCCGTCCAACTTTGGTGAATTACTGTGTCATGGTGAAAGAATCCCACTCTTCTTCCGGGCCATCCTTCAGGGACTTGGAAATGGAAGGTAGTGCAGTTTTTTCTGGCCATCTACCAGGCAAGGGACCCCAGGCTTCTTGGGGTAAGTTCGGCTAGCAATTTTAAAGAATTCTTCAGCAGCATCAAGAGCAATGAGACGGTCCTGCAGTTTAATAAATAAATAAATGGGAAAAAAAAACAAATAAATACATGAAAAAGAAGCTTGCCAAGTTGGAAACTGAGCTATATGGATGAGAAAAGTTAATAAAAAATAAAGCCTGCCCCAGAAATAATACCAAGCAAGTAAAACATTCATTAAAAATTTCAAGACTCAAAAAAAAAAAAAAAAAAATTCAAGACTTGGGGCTAGAGAGATGGCTCAGTGGTTAGGAGCATTGGCTGCTCTTCCAGAGGCCCTGAGTTCAATTCCCAGCATCCACATGGTAGTGAGATCTGGGTGTCTTCTTCTGGCATAAAGGCATAAGGCATACATACAGATAGAGCACTGGTATACATAAAATAAGTAAATCTTAAAAATAAAAAAATAAAAAACCTTTGGCCAGCTGATGGTGGCACAGGCCTTTAATTCCAGCACTGGGGATACAGAAGAAGGTGGATCTCTACAGAGCGAGTTCCAGGACAGCCAGGGGCTATGCAAAAAAACTCTGTCTCAAAACCAAACCAAACAAACAAAATACTCTGAACCTTCTTTAAAAAGGTTGAATTAAAGAAAAAAAAAAAAAAAATCAAGACTCAGAGGCTTATCTTACCCCTTTTCTTCATTACCCAAGAGATGTTCCCACCAATAATCTCTGTGTGTGAGCATATGTATGTGCAGGTGTGCGTGTGCCTGTGTTCAGGTGGGCTGGTGTGTACATGGCAAAGGTCATGTTGTTCCTCAAACACCACCCCATCCTTTGTTGTGCTATTCTTTTCTTGATACACAGTCTCTCACTGGGAGCTGTGGCACATCCGACGGGCTAGGCTGGCCCGGCTGCAAGCCTAAGGCATCCGCCTATTTCTGTGTCCCGGCCCTGGGATTAAAAAGCAGTGCCACCATACCAGGCTCCTAAAGTGGATGCTGGAGATCACACTGGGCTCTTCAAGCACATCATCAACTCAACAGTCTCCCCAGCCCTCCCACCAATCTTTCCGATCTTAGGCTGTACAGATACTTCGGCTCTTTGACCTGATGTTGCAACGTTAACCACACAGCAGAAATCGTCTGGAAAAGTACTCTGGTCGTAGCCTGCGCCTCAACAGCTCCAGGTGGGATGCTGAAATCCTTCTTTCTCTTCAAAGCTTCCCTGATGGCTCTGAAGCCATGGGCCACGGGTGCATTCAGGGGCAGCTCCATTTGCCACTCTGTCCTGGGGGAGCTGGTGAGGTTGGGGGACGCAGGGGTCCCAGGAAATAACAGATATGGTGAAAGTAAAGCAAATTAGGGAAGACGAGGTAAGGCATCCACTTACCACGACCAAGAGATACCTCTCGGAGAGCTCCCAGCTGGCTGGGAAGATGGAGGTCTCTTCAGCCAGTTTCAGCAGCATCTCTTGGGCTTTTCTCGTGTTTTTAGAATCGCTCATGGTGCTGAGTTTGGTCACTGACAGCAAAGAGTCGGCTTCCTTTTGAAAACCTAAGGTGGAAACACACAGCCCTTGTGTGAAGTCTGATGTGCCCACCCTGTGATACTACTGCTGTGATTATTGAGAAGGGATCCAAGTGTGAGTTCTGTACAGTGAAAACTAAAGTCAGAGGCACACCGGGGGCCGCTCCCCAGCTCTGTGTGAGTGGAACGCTCTTTACTCAAAACTATTTTTGCAGAGCAGTGCTGGTGCATGCACCTTCGATACTGGCACTCGGGAAGCAGAGGCAGGTGGATCTCTGAGTTCAAGGCTAGCCTGGGCTACGGACAGCCAGTTCCCCAACTGCTCACTGCACGTGTCTTCTACCCTGTCCTAGAATCCCTACACCTCTCCCCAGGGTGCAGTGGTCACCTCCAGATTGCTACATCTCCAAGCCCTGATTTCCTTCCTCATGGCAGTCTGGTCAACTGGGGGGGGTAGGGGGGAATCATTTTACTGAAGATAGAAAAGACTCAAAGAAGGAAACCTGCTCAGGCTGACTTAACTATAAAGAGGAGACTACTAGCACACAGCAACATTGGGTAAGTTTAGAGAACAGAGTATCCATCCATCTTACCCCACTATCCCCAACTTAGACAGCCAGAGCCGGCAACCTGGTACCCCACCTTTGAAAAGCTTTAATGTTATTTCAGAGTAGAATGATCAAGGACTTTAAAGGTGATGGTTTAGTTTTGAACACTAAAGCAAGCTTATTCTATGATGTGGGGATACATTTACTCAACCATAGTAGAATTAAGAAAGGCTATTATTATTCTATGTCTACCATAATGCTAAGTGCATTTTCCCAACCTTGTAACTTTTCTTCCTTTTGCTCCTTGTCTTGATAGGTCTTACAAACAATATTTCTTTCAACCTGCCATATTCATAAAGCTATTACTACTTCCTCAGTCACTCCCCATCTAATCCAATCAATAAATAATGACCCATATGACTTCACCACTCTGTGTTATCTCATACTTGGGGACAGGTGAAGTAACATATGGCCAAGTAAAATGAGCTGGTGACAACAGAAATATCAAGGTTTATAGTTGAGAGTATAAAAGCAAAACTGAATAACCAAACAAGGTAAGGCAGTTTAATAGTCTGTGCTGACAGTCTTTCTACAAAAACCATGGTGGAAAAAGTGAAGCGCAATGCGCATGACTAGTTATTTTCACCGGTTCACAGTCTCTTCCCGACTCACCCAAGTCCTCTAAGATTCGCCTCCATCTGTTTCTCACTTCCCTGCGAATCTGCCTCAGGGTGTAGATGTCATAGTTGAGTCTTTGCCACTCCTGTAAAGAGATAAACATCCACTTTTACTTACACCCTCTGGCCTAAACCCTCTATCTAATTTCTGCTGAGTAGCACGTTGCTTAAACACATGGTTCTTCTCTTCACTAATCTTAAACACAATCCTAAAGAAAAGGAGGCATAGATGAGATGGAGTTGACAAGAAAGAACGCCATCAGCTGCCACGGCTGAAGAATATGTCCCCTTCTAGGTGACCCAGTTTCTAAATATGTCACTTAGACTTTCTGATTATCGATTTTCTCCACTGCAGTGACCATACCTGCAAAATGAGGTTAACAATAGTAAAGTTTCCATGTAAGACTACAGTCAAGATTTAAGGTATAAACTATTAGGACAAAGGTTCCCTCAGCAGGTAAAGTGTTTGCCATATAAGTGTGAGGACCCGAGTTCAGATCCCCAGCACCCAATGCCCAGTGAGTGAAGGGGATCTGTCTATAATTCCAGTACTCAAAGACAGAAACATGGGGTTCCCCCAAAGCCAGCTGGACAGTTAGACTAGACAAATTAGTGAGCTCTATGGATAAGGTAAAGAGTGACTGAGGGAGACTGCTCACATCAGCACACACATACACAGACACACACACACATATGCACAACACACAGACACATGCACACGCACATACATGCACACAGACACATACACAAATACATGCACAACACAGATGCATATACCATACACACACATGCACAACACACAGACACATACACCCCCCCCCCCCGATGGGAGATGCCAGCAGCGGCGGGCGGAAAAACCATACTCGTTACACCCCCCCCACACACACACACGGGTATACACACAACACAGAGACATATGCAAAGGAAAAAGGCCAATGCCTGCCTAATAAAATTCATGTATTTGGAGCAATTTATAGATGAAGAAACTAAGGCTCAAATAATTTATATGCTGAATCTAAGATATTCCAGGTAACGGATATTAGAAGTAGTGTTTGAAACTATGTTGTACTTCAAAGTTCATGAAAAAAACAAAGGTAAGAATCTACATCTCAGTTTGATATCATAATGATATGCAGAACTAGGAACCCCATACACCCTGATTCCTTTGTGTTTCTCACACCGTATCTTAGCAACGCTCCCTTGGTAGGGTAGATTTTTCAGGCACACAGGGAACCTTAGAAGGTTTTCACTCTGGAAAGTCCTTTACCAGCCATCAGGTGGCATGGGCATCACATAGATCCTAACACAGAAGCTGGATCTTAGGTCTTCACGGCCCTAAACATTCTCTGAAGGTGCCATTGGAAATTTGTTTTTAAGGAGATCTATCTGTAACGAACAATTGAACACATTTTCCCTTCTTACAAAAGACACAACTGTCCTCACTCACAGAGAACATCATTTTAAATGTTCGATTTAAGACGCAAACTATTTAATATTTTGACTCCTGTAACTGAAAATGTTTCAACGATGCCATTCGTTCCCTACTAAATGCCTTTCAAAACACACTTGCCTTGCAGATTGCCTTTCAACTTGCATGCCTAGTTAAGAAGAGTAAATTTAGCTGCCATTCACACACTTCAAAAACACCATTTTGAAAAAAGGAAAGCTAACAAAAATAAAGGGTGCTTTGCCATGATTGCTTTTTAGATTGTGTCTGAGGACTTGTCACATCATGAGAAGGGAGTGCGCTTTCTGCTACCCTCTTTAAGTCAGGAAGTTGTGGATTTCCTATTCCTTTAAAAAAATTAAAATAATAAGAGCCAAAGGCATGTGCACAAGTGTGTAATGCCTAGGGTCAAAGACGAAGCTGTGTGTGACCTTCAAAGGCAGTGAAGCTAACTAAATGTAGTCTAGAAACTACACATAATCTGGAAAGTACATATAGGCTAGAGGGATGGCTCCGCAGTTAGGAGACCAGCTGCTCTTCCAGAGGACCCAGGTTTGAAGCACAGCGCCACATGGTGGCTCACAACTGAAACTCCAGTTCCAAGGGGCTCTGATGCCCACTTCTGGCCTCTGGGGCACTGCATGTACAGGATGTTAATATACTGCAGACGAAACACTCACACGCCTTTTAGCATCACATTAAAGCATATCTCGCCAACCCCTGCCCCTATACTGAATAAACTGCAAAGGAAAAACTTGAGCCTTTTCAGTGGAGTACTTACAATACTTAAGGGAGCACTCAGTACAACACACCCAGCTGAGCCAGACTGTCTGTCTAGGTTCGGGTCCAGCCCTACTGACAGCCTATCTCACTGCCTAAGCTTCATCTGCAATATGGCTGTAATACTGCCTACACCACAACTGCTTACTGCGAGGCTCGGTTGATTCTATGGCCTTCAAATGGAAAGTCAGTACACTTCCAACACCGGTGTCAGATGGCTCACAATTCCCTGTAACTCCAGTTCCAGGGGAGTCTGATGCCTCTGCCTTCATGGGTTCCTGCACATGTGTACATATACACACAGACATACACTCAGAATTAAAAATAGCAAAAAATAAACCTTTTAAAAAGAAATAATCCCAGACACTCAGGAATATTTCTGTCATGCACTATATGGCTAGAGAACAGTATATATTAGCCTACTTTTGGTGACAGCCAGAAGCAAGTTTTCTATGCTCTTAGCATCAAATGGCAATTTATTTTTCCCAAAGATTGTTTTTATGAGGGATCAGTTTTCACTTTCCTCTGAAATTTCAGTGTCTTCTTGTGAAAAATACATAGATAGACCCAAGTTCAGTTCCCAGCATCCAGGCTGGATGGCTCCAAGGATACAATGCCCTCTTCTGGTCTCCACAGGTACTGCACAGTGTAATTTTAAAAGGCAATGATTAGGAGCCCAGATATCCATGAGCAGCTTCACAAGGATCCAGAACCTTCACTTATGCAACAAACCACTAGGTGGCTTCATTAACTTGTGACTGGAGGTCTACTAATTTGTCATGTGTGGTGCTGATACCCTGACATTCTTTCCATGTATAGACAAAAGCGAAGACACTGAAATTCATGGATTTGTATAAAATTCAGTGTTGATGTTTAGCAATAGAAAAATAACTGGATCATCCAGGCGCCAGACTTTCTTCTTCTATAGTCCATTATTTGTTATTTTACAACTTCCCTCCCAACCTCCGCAGTGGAAATACTACTACAATTCATATGAGGCTGTGAATGGTCCTTAAATACAAGGTTTAACGACTGTGACTGACCCAAAATGGACATCCGTGATTGGTGGTGAACTGTTGCTGGCAACTTCACAGCCAGACTAGCCCCTGTCTCAGGCAGCAGCCACCTGCTGGGGCTAGCTTGATTCCAGCTTGACAGGTAAAGATCCTACACCATCCAGTGCCAAGCAGGGACTTGGTACCACCTAGACCCAAGTGCCAGGAATATCCCAGGCCACAGTGGCTTGCAGAAGCTGGAGTGAGGCAGAGCTTAGTGTGGCTGCCTGTGATGCACGGGAAACAGTGTGTCCAGGCCTGAATCCTGCTGATTCCAACAGAGAGCTCACCTGCCCTCCAGGGTTCCATCCTCAGTGACAAAGGATGCTGTGCTCCAGTGATCCCAGCTGCCCAAGATCAGCCCACTTGGCGCACGCGCCACACACACAAATGCCTGGCAGTGGCTACTGACCACTGAAGGAGCATTTGAAGAGGAAAGTTCCAGGGTAATCAGGACAGAATGAAGGCATGAAGGCAAGAGGAAGAAGAAAGCCAACACGAAAGAGCTTTAAAAAACAAAAGGTCTGAGGAGATGGCTCGGTGGTTAAGAGCACTTGTTGTTCTTGCAGAGGACCTGGGTTTGGTTCTCAGAGCCCACATGACAGCTAGCATCTGAAACTCCAATTCCAGTGGGTCTGATGTCCTCTTCTGGCCTTTGAGGGCACTGCACACATGTGGTACACAGATGGAAGCAAAACACACATATAAAAATAAACAAATCTTTGGGGGGGGGATGTGTATAAAAAAAAAAAAAAAAAGACTAAGAGGACCAGAGACGACAACCCATGTAGGCCCTGGTCGCAACAGTTCCGGAGAGCTGTCATGTTTTCAGAGCCAAGAGTCTCAATCCCCAGGCTGAGCTGTAGCTGGTGACTGCCAAGGGTCCAGAATCTGATAACTGCGACCAGGACAGTAGCATTAGAGGCTGTCACCTGTGCTTCCTCTGCCTGCCCATAACTCTTCCTACTGCTGCCAGACACTGCGAAAATAAAGACCACTGGAGACTCACTTCTTACCTACTCACTATCTACTCATGAGCAAAAGGACCCTCACCAGATAAATGGCGACATGCCGTAGGGTCCCAGCCTCCACAATTGTAAATAACCTGCATATAAGATTAATGGGATCAAGCTGGATAGATGGCTCACAACCTTCTACAATGAGATCTGGTGCCCTCTTCTGGTGTGCAGGCATACATGCAGGCAGAACATTGTATACATAGCAAATGTTTTTTAAAAAGAAGATGAATGGGATAAAACTTTCACACAGCCATTCATGCACACATAAGATTATCTTTTTGAACATAATAGTACCTGGAAGTTTTGTGCAAAGAAATCAAAAACCAGTAGAAGCCTGAGTAGAACTGAACTGAAATTTGGATTTACTAAAATGAGCTGGAGAAGAGACTGAATTCCCTTTAAATACAGGACTCCAAGTAACAGCAAAAAGTGGAAGAGGTGAGGAACAATGGTATACAAAACCTCCGATGACTTCTCTTCATAACTGAAAAGACCTACTCCTTCATGTCAGAAATGAGGGGGTTCTTGATATACTTCTGTATCTTACATTTTAATTTTTTTAAGTGTCAAACAACTAAAAAATAACAATTCAAGATCAGCTAAATAACCTTCACAAGAGAATTTTGTTCCATTAAGCACCAAACATCAAGTTTTATTTTATTAGCTTATGTTTATTTTCCCATAATTTCCAAAACACTACAGTCATTGTGCTCTTAAATATTAAGAGTGAGTGGATTAGCAAAGATCTGGCAAAAAGAATAATGTGGAATTGATTCCACAAAACA